GTCATCAGCAAGTGACACTCCACACACCTCCTCTTCCTGGGGTGGAATTCAGCCCTTCACACCTCGGTGTGACAGCTCACTCGCTCAGGGCAGCTCCGGCGCCGTGTCCGCTGCGCAGCGGAATCCCAGGTTGGAGGCAGAGCTGTCGGGAGTGTTCTGACTGCGGGCTGCACAGCGATACCTGTAGCAGTAAGACTGCAAAGGAAGGGGAGAAAAAGGGAATTCAGTGCATACCCCAGGTGGTGCTTCCTAAGGAGAGAGGTGGTTAGATTAACAGAGCAAAACATTTCAAATGCTGTTGGACAGATCCGTGAACTGATACAGATCAAAATCCCTCTGCTGGAAATAGGGGAGATCCCACTGTGCGCAGAGAGCAGTCGCAGCTGATACAAACAGTAGTTCGAATGGCAAAGTGTCTGATAACATCATATATCCTGCTCTGGGAAAAACCTAAAAGGCCCATTCTGCTTCTTCTCAGAGGAGAAGAGCATCTCAGCACCTGGATCTGTGTGTCAGTGCACTCAGGAACAACTGGAAGTGGACAGAATTTCAAAAAAACATTCACTGAATGAGATGCAACAGGAACGGAATAACTGGAGGCAGAGGGCTTCCCAGTGTTCCTCTGGCTGGCATTCTAGGGACAGTTATCATCAAGATACAATCTGCACTGGTGGCTATAAAAACATTTACATTTTAAATGAAGCCACTGATAAAATGATTCAATCACAGATGTTCCTAGTAGACAACTTTGAATGCTCTCCTCTTCCAGAACAGGCCACAGTGACACAGCAGCCACCTCTCAGAAGATAGACCTATTTATATCCAAAATGTTATCTTAAAAGGACTGCTGCAGGGTGCTTTGCACAAGTTATTTTGAGAAGGGCTGTTAACTTACACACAACCAAATGAATTCAAACAGCACTGTAACAGCACCGGTCTATAGACATCAGCCTATGGGGTGTTTTGACCCTGCCTGGCTGTACAGATGTGGCCACGTCTCAGTGCACGTTCATATACTCACACTCCCTGAAAAATGAGAAAGTTGTGCTATTTGCAGTGGTACAGATTCTCAATGAGCTGATTTTAGGAATGGTGGTTTCTGAACTGCAGAACTAACCAGTTTAAGTGGTTCTACATGAAGTTACAGTGCCTGTCCAGCAGCAGTTATCCATCCTAGCATGGAGGAACGACAGTCACGCTGGCAGTTTCACTAAGGAAGAGCTGGGGCAGCAGACTGTGCATTTATGTAGCAACTCCAGTACAATCCACCATCCGAGTTCTGCCCCTTTTTGCTGTTATTTCAAATGATTTGGCTCAGGCTTTTTCTTTTTGTGCCCATCTTCCTGATACAGGCTTCTGGCCTCCAACCAAAAATCCCACCACTTTCATCCAGGCTGGTTCAGCTGCATGTAGCCAGGCTCTGAACCAGACTTCTGGAACAGCTAGGTTAAAAAGCAAACACACTTTGTTTTATTATTGTGGTTGGTTTGTTTTGAGGAGAGGAAGAAGGAGAGGGTGGGTTTTTTCCTTTAAACTCAGATCCCTTCAGGAGTTTGGACACACAACTGAGTTTATACAGCCCTGAGGGTGGTGACAACTTTAATGGGCTCCATCATCAAGGGAACCCCGTGAACCACATCATCTCGCAGAGG